CAGTGGGACATGTCCGAGTGGGTGCGAGTTGGTTGTCGCTATGTTTTCATAGGTTTGGGCTTGACCAACTCCTATGAGATGTCTGAGTTCGGCACCATAACCACCAGAGAGAACTACGCCTAATACCTCGGGCCGGAAGAACAATATCACCATCACCCGCCTAAGAAACGAGGAGATCGAGGAGATGGTATAGGAGGCGAGACTTACAAGGCCGAGGGCTAGGAGCACAAGAAGAAGGCAGCGTGTGTTAAACATTCACGTAAGTTGGCCCTAGTAAAAAAAAAACTAGTAGTATTAGAGGAGAAAGTACTCTGACTCTACATGTAACTCTTATATGACTAGGAAAAACTACACATGATGGGTTATGGTGGCACAGTGGGACATGTCCGAGTGTGGGTGCGAGTTGGTTGTTGCTATCTTTTCATAGGTTTGGGCTTGACCAACTCCTATGAGGTCTCTTAAAAGTAAATAAACTAGTGGGATAAGATGGATAAGTACTCTGAAAGTTGGCCCTAGTAAAAAAACTAGTAGTATTAGAGGAGAAAGTACTCAGACTCTACATGTAACTCTTAGATGACTAGGAAAAACTACACATGATGGGTTATGGTGGCCTAATGGGACATGTCCGAGTGGGTGCGTTGGTCATCGCTATGTTTTTCATAGGTTTGGGCTTGACCAACTCCTATGAGATCTCTTAAAAGTAAATAAACTAGTGGGATAAGATGGATAAGTACTCTGCAGCCTATGTAGATCTCTCAAATGTAAGGGAACTAGTGGAATGAGAGGGAAAGGTGTGCAGCGGCAGGAGCGGGCACGACCGGAACTCTAGCGATGGCAGTGGAGGGGCATGTTTGAGTTCGGCACCGTACAATATCACCATCACCCGCCTAAGAAACGAGGAGATCGAGGAGATGGTATAGGAGGCAGAGACTTACAAGGCCGAGGGCTAGGAGCACAAGAAGAAGGCAGCGTGTGTTAAACATTCACGTAAGTTGGCCCTAGTAAAAAAAACTAGTAGTATTAGAGGAGAAAGTACTCTGTACTCTACATGTAACTCTTATATGACTAGGAAAAACTACACATGATGGGTTATGGTGGCCTGGTGGGACATGTCTGAGTGGGTGCGAGTTGGTTGTTGCTATGTTTTCATAGGTTTGGGCTTGACCAACTCCTATGAGGTCTCTTAAAAGTAAATAAACTAGTGGGATAAGATGGATAAGTACTCAAAAAGTTGGCCCTAGTAAAAAAAAAAAACTAGTAGTATTAGAGGACAAAGTACTCAGTACTCTACATGTAACTCTTAGATGACTAGGAAAAACTACACATGATGGGTTATGGTGGCACGATGGGACATGTCTCAGAGTGGGTGCGAGTTGGTCATCGCTATGTTTTCATAGGTTTGGGCTTGACCAACTCCTATGAGATCTCTTAAAAGTAAATAAACTAGTGGGATAAGATGGATAAGTACTCTGCAGCCTATGTAGATCTCTCAAATGTAAGGGAACTAGTGGAATGAGAGGGAAAGGTGTGCAAGCGGGGAGCGGGCACGACAGAAACTCTAGCGATGGCGGTGCTACATGTAACTCTTATATGACTAGGAAAAACTACACATGATGGGTTATGGTGGCACAGTGGGACATGTCCGAGTGGGTGCGAGTTGGTTGTCGCTATGTTTTCATAGGTTTGGGCTTGACCAACTCCTATGAGATGTCCGAGTTCGGCACCATAACCACCCAGAGAGAACTACGCCTAATACCTCGGGCCGAAGAACAATATCACCATCACCCGCCTAAGAAACGAGGAGATCGAGGAGATGGTATAGGAGGCGGAGACTTACAAGGCCGAGGGCTAGGAGCACAAGAAGAAGGCAGCGTGTGTTAAACATTCACACGTAAGTTGGCCCTAGTAAAAAAAAACTAGTAGTATTAGAGGAGAAAGTACTCAGACTCTACATGTAACTCTTATATGACTAGGAAAAACTACACATGATGGGTTATGGTGGCACTGTGGGACATGTCCGAGTGGGTGCGAGTTGGTTGTTGCTATCTTTTCATAGGTTTGGGCTTGACCAACTCCTATGAGGTCTCTTAAAAGTAAATAAACTAGTGGGATAAGATGGATAAGTACTCTGAAAGTTGGCCTAGTAAAAAAAAAAAGTAGTAGTATTAGAGGAGAAAGTACTCTGTACTCTACATGTAACTCTTAGATGACTAGGAAAAACTACACATGATGGGTTATGGTGGCCTAATGGGACATGTCTGAGTGGGTGCGAGTTGGTCATCGCTATGTTTTCATAGGTTTGGGCTTGACCAACTCCTATGAGATCTCTTAAAAGTAAATAAACTAGTGGGATAAGATGGATAAGTACTCTGCAGCCTATGTAGATCTCTCAAATGTAAGGGAACTAGTGGAATGAGAGGGAAAGGTGTGCAGCGGCAGGAGCGGGCACGACCGGAACTCTAGCGATGGCAGTGGAGGGGCATGTTTGAGTTCGGCACCGTACAATATCACCATCACCCGCCTAAGAAACGAGGAGATCGAGGAGATGGTATAGGAGGCGAGAGACTTACAAGGCCGAGGGCTAGGAGCACAAGAAGAAGGCAAAGCGTGTGTTAAACATTCACGTAAGTTGGCCCTAGTAAAAAAAAAACTAGTAGTATTAGAGGAGAAAGTACTCAGACTCTACATGTAACTCTTATATGACTAGGAAAAACTACACATGATGGGTTATGGTGGCACAGTGGGACATGTCCGAGTGGGTGTGCGAGTTGGTTGGTTGTTGCTATGTTTTCATAGGGTTGGGCTTGACCAACTCCTATGAGGTCTCTTAAAAGTAAATAAACTAGTGGGATAAGATGGATAAGTACTCAAAAAGTTGGCCCTAGTAGTAAAAAACTAGTAGTATTAGAGGACAAAGTACTCACATACTCTACATGTAACTCTTAGATGACTAGGAAAAACTACACATGATGGGTTATGGTGGCACGATGGGACATGTCTGCAGTGGGTGCGAGTTGGTCATCGCTATGTTTTCATAGGTTTGGGCTTGACCAACTCCTATGAGATCTCTTAAAAGTAAATAAACTAGTGGGATAAGATGGATAAGTACTCTGCAGCCTATGTAGATCTCTCAAATGTAAGGGAACTAGTGGAATGAGAGGGAAAGGTGTGCAATGGCGGGGCGGGCACACACCAGGAACTCTAGCGATGGCGATGCTACATGTAACTCTTATATGACTAGGAAAAACTACACATGATGGGTTATGGTGGCCTGGTGGGACATGTCTGAGTGGGTGCGAGTTGGTTGTCGCTATGTTTTCATAGGTTTGGGCTTGACCAACTCCTATGAGATGTCTGAGTTCGGCACCATAACCAGCCCCAGAACTACCCTAATACCCTCGGGCCGGAAGAACAATATCACCATCACCCGCCTAAGAAACGAGGAGATCGAGGAGATGGTATAGGAGGCGGAGACTTACAAGGCCGAGGGCTAGGAGCACAAGAAGAAGGCAGCGTGTGTTAAACATTCACGTAAGTTGGCCCTAGTAAAAAAACTAGTAGTATTAGAGTAGAAAGTACTCTATACTCTACATGTAACTCTTATATGACTAGGAAAAACTACACATGATGGGTTATGGTGGCACAGTGGGACATGTGTGAGTGGGTGCGAGTTGGTTGTTGCTATCTTTTCATAGGTTTGGGCTTGACCAACTCCTATGAGGTCTCTTAAAAGTAAATAAACTAGTGGGATAAGATGGATAAGTACTCAAAAGTTGGCCCTAGTAAAAAAAAAACTAGTAGTATTAGAGGAGAAAGTACTGTACTCTCTACATGTAACTCTTAGATGACTAGGAAAAACTACACATGATGGGTTATGGTGGCACGATGGGACATGTCTGAGTGGGTGCGAGTTGGTCATCGCTATGTTTTCATAGGTTTGGGCTTGACCAACTCCTATGAGATCTCTTAAAAGTAAATAAACTAGTGGGATAAGATGGATAAGTACTCTGCAGCCTATGTAGATCTCTCAAATGTAAGGGAACTAGTGGAATGAGAGGGAAAGGTGTGCAATGGCGGCGGGCGCGGCACGACCGGAACTCTAGCGATGGCGATGCTACATGTAACTCTTATATGACTAGGAAAAACTACACATGATGGGTTATGGTGGCCTGGGTGGGACATGTCTAGTGGGTGCGAGTTGGTTGTCGCTATGTTTTCATAGGTTTGGGCTTGACCAACTCCTATGAGATGTCTGAGTTCGGCACCATAACCAGCCAGAGAACTACGCCTAATACCTCAGGCCAGAAGAACAATATCACCATCACCCGCCTAAGAAACGAGGAGATCGAGGAGATGGTATAGGAGGCGGAGACTTACAAGGCCGAGGGCTAGGAGCACAAGAAGAAGGCAGCGTGTGTTAAACATTCACGTAAGTTGGCCCTAGTAAAAAAACTAGTAGTATTAGAGTAGAAAGTACTATATACTCTACATGTAACTCTTATATGACTAGGAAAAACTACACATGATGGGTTATGGTGGCCTGGTGGGACATGTGTGAGTGGGTGCGAGTTGGTTGTTGCTATCTTTTCATAGGTTTGGGCTTGACCAACTCCTATGAGGTCTCTTAAAAGTAAATAAACTAGTGGGATAAGATGGATAAGTACTCTGAAAGTTGGCCCTAGTAAAAAAAACTAGTATACTCTACATGTAACTCTTAGATGACTAGGAAAAACTACACATGATGGGTTATGGTGGCCTGATGGGACATGTCTAAGTGGGTGCGAGTTGGTCATCGCTATGTTTTCATAGGTTTGGGCTTGACCAACTCCTATGAGATCTCTTAAAAGTAAATAAACTAGTGGGATAAGATGGATAAGTACTCTGCAGCCTATGACAATTCATAGAGGATATTTACTCGCATACACAAAACAAAAAGAAAGGCACATCGGTTGCTTTACAAATATTTCACCATACTGCAAGAGTTTATTGAGTTTATTGCATCACAAGGTGAATGATTCGATCAGACTATCTGCTACTGGTTCCATTGCAACAATATGACTGGCAAAGTCTTCAGCTGAGCAGTCCTTTGGCTTGCCCTCACCAACTCGAGTCAGATCAAGACCAGGGTAGTATGCTCTCACTGTTCCGAGTACTCTTGAAGTACAGACTCTAGCTGCTTTCTTACAGTATACTCGGATCAATCCAGGTACTTCTCTCAGTTGATCCAGGAACGGAGTCGAAGCTTGATTCTCAGACAATCTGGAGACTAATTTGAGAATTGGGGTGGCAGCCTCCTTGATTTTTTCTTTATCTTCTTCAGCTTCGGCCAGGGATCTATTCAGCGTTTGGATCTCCTGTATACTAGTTAAAAACTGAGAATATGTCTCCTTGCGCGTGTTCTGAGCCTCGCGCAGCTGATTGATAGCGTGTTTGCAGCAATCCATCTGGTTGGTCAGCTGTTCCTTGAGTATGGTTTCAGTTTGAGCATGCTCTGAAATACACAAGACTGCATCAGCATCATCAGGATGAGCATGTCATGACTTAGAAATAAGGATTCCTTACCTTTCAGAGAAGTCGAAATTTTTGTATTCTCCTCCTTGAGAGAATTGATCTGTTTCTCGAGGACAGCAAGAACAGCAAGATGACATGTTCTGAGCTTGGCCGAGCGCTCTTGTTTTTTTTCAGCCAACTTTGCTTCTGCAGACTCTCTGCGCGGGTGAGTAGTTGGTTGGTCTGTTTCAGCAGTGCCGAGTTTAGTATCTGATTCAGCACTTCACCCTCAGATTTAGCAACTAGAGTGGGAAGACCTTCAGGCATCTTATCTTCACTGGCTGATACATTGTCAGATGGGCGAGTACCCAGCTCATGGACTACAGAAATAGTCAGATGCTGTGAGGCTTCAGCTGAGGAGGGTAGCACTGCAGCAGTCATCATTGGAGGTGCTGCTGCTATTGAAACAGGTTTTCTGAGAGCAATAATGTCATCAATTAGTATGACTGCAAGAAGGAAGAGAATAAATCTTAAATTCAAGTATACTTACTTCTTATATTGCTTGAACTCAAAACACAGCGAGCCGAGAGGAATAACATCTGGAGATGGTCCTTGCAAGTCCTGAAGGGGGGGTTTGATTTGCATCCCCGCTGACAGCAATGGATCTGTGTTTGATGCCTTTGGAACGATCCTTGAATGTTCTGTTTAACACGGGGTCTTCGATTTGCATCCCCCCCTCTAACAGCAATGGATCTGTGGTTGATAAACCTGAAATGGGGCTTGAAGCTTGAGGAAATAACTGACGAGCTGTACCTAACTGATGACCTGTACCTGAGGAAGTAGTAACCAACGTCATGGGAAGACATCCAGGCATCTTATCTTCACTGGCGTGACACATTCTGACCTTTGCCACAGTTCGACTCTTCTTAGGCACTTGCACCTGCAGCCTCCCCTCCTCCACTGGTCTCTTCGACCCTGAGCTTGATTGAGCGGCAGCCTTTGCTCGTTGGCTTATAAGTTCTTTGCTGCCAGATATCTCAGCTTCTGTCATCTGATCAGCGGTCAAATGCTCTGGCAAGGGGGGTGGGGAGTGATATAAAGCAATATGTTCCTACAAAAGAAGCAAAGAAGCAAGTAACAAGAAGATCTCAGAATCAACATGAATAACCAAATTGGCAAAAGAAAACAAACAATGACAAGTCAGGGGACTTACTGACGGAGGAGAGTTGGTCGCAGAGTACTCGGGAGGAGTCTTGGGCTCGGAATGGACACCTGTCAAGAATTTCCCGACCCTTTCCAAGATCTCATCATGGGTGAGATCCTCCTTCAGCCTTGATGGATCCTCTGGGCCCTTGTACAAGTAGCCGGGTACTGATCGCTCTTGAAGTGGCTGGATCCGACGTTTAATGAAACTCCAAGCTATTCCAGCTGCAGTCAGTCCTTGATCCTTCAGATTTGCAATCTTCTCCACCAACTCCTCGATCCGGATGCTCTCCTTCTGATTGGGTGGGCTGTTCCATTTAGCAGTGCAGACTGGTTTGTGGCCAGAACGCACAAGCAGCTGGGCCATATCTCCGATGACGAACCACTCACTTCGCCATGTCCTGACTGGGTCCTTCAAAGGAACATCAAAGTAGTGTTTCTTGGTACTTTGGCGAAGCTGAAAGCCGGCCCCTCCACAGACACTGGGGTTAGCGGATTTTGGATTAGGCTTCAGACGGAAGAAATATCTAAAGAGCTGGAAGTGGGGATCGATTCCGAGGAAGGCTTCGCATAAATGAACAAAGAGAGCGATGTGGGTGATTCCATTGGGAGTCAAGTGGACAAGTTCGATGTTGTAGAAGTGGAGAAGCCCACGGAGAAATTTTGAAGCGGGGAGACCAAGACCGCGCTCAAAGAAAGATGCATAAACAGTAGTCTCACCGGTGCCTTCAGAAGGGAAAGCTTGTTGGTATACAGATTTCCACCTAGCAAACTCCTTGCAGGGGAGGAACCCTCGATCAACAAGCTCTTGGAGATTTGTGTCTTCCACAACAGATGGCATCCACTCGCACGCCTGGTCCGGCATCCTGGTCCTCTTCTTGCTCCCAGCTATTTTCATCCTCATCCTGATGCGGGCGCGGGTGGAGGCGCGCTATACACAGAGTAGTGTTAGTTTGGAGGCAATAAAGGTAAGGAAGTAGCTTCTAAAATTCAGGTGAGAGATTCATAACAATTGGCTAAACAATTCACAGAAGCTAGCAAGTAACAAATTGCTACTGGACAATATGGAGATGCATGATGTGGTCGATCTGGACAATATGGAGATGCATGCTGTGGTCGATCTGCAGTAGACAGTAGCTAGCTTTCTGACGGATCAAAGAACAAGCTGCTGAGCAAAAACAAACTGAAGCCTCCAGTCCCCCATGGGGGTTTTAGTTCTGGCTGCCTCTCATGCTCATGCCGATAAAGAGCAAGCAGCAGGCACAGCCATGTATGCAAGCACAAGGCAAACACCCATCTATGCAATACAGCTTGTATTCGTAGATCGTAGGTTAACAGGCTATTGTCGATGAAGAAATATATGCATACAACATAGGGCTACTAATGTAGGCATTGCAATTTGCTCGCATGAGTGAATTAATAGCAGTCATACTTGGCGGACCCAGGATTTTAATACAGGGTAGTCCTAGTCAATTTTTTTATATGTTATATGATAAAACTAATTAAAAAAATAATATACATGATTATGAATTAGCTAAATTACGACCTTTTCGCCTAATGTTTCTAAAAATGCAATGTTGATTTCATCATACCTCTTTTTTTTTTGAGATTTCATGCCTCAATTTAGTGAAAAATAACAGTATCCTTTAAGGATTTTGTTATCTATCTTTCAATAGTTTTTCATCTCTTGTATCCATCAGATTTGGAGCAGTCCGATTTACTTCAAGATGTGTCCTAAGTTTTGTTATGCAGTCCGCTTACTTTTTTTGGATTCTAAAATCTGACAGATTGGGTTTTCTTTTGCATTTCCCGATTGCATAATCTGACAGATCGGTGTCCACCAAATCTATTGTTTTTTGTGATTTTATTTTCTTTAGACAAAAAATGGACAGTTATATCTCTATAGAATCTGTCATGAGTCCAATCTCCATATCCATTTTCCAATGTCCAAACCCTAAAGAATAAAATTCACACAAGAACTTACCACAGGAAGGCAAGGAGCAGGCCATCATAACAGGCCAAAAATTCACACGGGAACTTACTAGGAATGCAAGGAGCAATCTAGCAGGGCAGACTGCGGGGCGGTGGTTGTCCTGGGCAGCTGCTTAGCACCAACGCCACCTACCACGCAAGGCAACAAGAGGCGAGAATGCCACTCGGCGTGAGGCGAGGCGACGGCTGTTGGGCGGGCGACCGGCAGAGGAGCTCTGCTGCCGGGCTGCAGAGACGCCGCTCCCCGCAGCAGGCCCGCAGCTCGAGAAGGCGCCGCCCGCTGGAGGGGCGAAGCCGCGGAGGAGGCCGGCAAGCCGCGCAGGAGCCAGGTGAGGCCGGAGGACGGGGTGGGGGGCGACGCCACGGCACCCGGCGGCCGGCGTCTAGCTCCGGGTCGCGACTTCACGGCCGCCCCGTGCGTATGAATCCTTTGATGACTCATTACATATCTCGGCAGATTCAGTGTCCCTTTATATATTGTTGAAGATGTCTCTTAAGAGATCTACTCCTCATCAACACCATATAAGTAGTCGGTCAGGCCCCAATCCTATTGGCTAGATCCATCATCCCTCCCCCAAACCCTAACTCTAGAGCCAGATTCATCGTGTGCCTAAGTCATCTAGGAGTTACAAAGATGGTCATCGAGTGCTCCGAGTTGATGCAACCTCTAAGGGTTTAGGGACCTAAGTACTCGACGGAGTACTTTTCCCCTTCATACCACTAGTTGAAGGGAAGCCAGAGTGCTCGAACTTATCGAGTAGGTTGTCGTAGTAGGTGGATAGGTCCTACTCATAGTGACCAAGTTATTGACGGTGGAGCCAAAGAACCAGGTCTTACCGAAGACGGGAACCACATTTGCATCACCAATGATCTAATTTCCAACTTGAATGTGAATGTCCCTCTAATGCGCAGTACACTCATAACCATCACCATAATGGGTGAACTAAAACGTGGGTCTTGGGGTGTAGTACCTTCAACACAAGCAAAAAAAGTCAGAAAAATGGGTTGGAACCCTAGATATGAAAATAAAAATACAAAACTTGGTATGGCGAAATTTCGGATGTATATAATTTGTGTGTAGCCATAAAAGGACAAAAAGGAACTGTGTCACCATACGTGGCCTTCTTGGAGCTTGTCACAAGACTAGTTGAGAACACCGATGCTAGAATCGGTGGTTATTTTGGCTCTGTTGTGCTTATGTGGTATTCATCTATTTCCTCGGTGGAGAAAAAACCTGGAGTGTGAACAGAGAACTACGTCGGTGTGGCAAAGCATGACCGTGTTGAGATCGTCCCAACGGCCAAAGCAACCGCAAGGCAAGGAAGTACATGGCCGAGAATGAGGAGCACAAGAAGAAGGTGGACATGAAGAACTCACTCGAGAAAAGATCGAGGAGATGGTATAGGAGGCGAGAGACTTACAAGGCCGAGAGCTAGGAGCACAAGAAGAAGGCGGCGTGTGTGTTAAACATTCACGTAAGTTGGCCCTAGTAAAAAAAAAAACTAGTAGTATTAGAGGAGAAAGTACTATGTACTCTACATGTAACTCTTATGTGACTAGGAAAAACTACACATGATGGGTTATGGTTGCACAGTGGGACATGTCCGAGAGTGGGTGCGAGTTGGTTGTCGCTATGTTTTCATAGGTTTGGGCTTGACCAACTCCTATGAGATCTCTTAAAAGTAAATAAACTAGTGGGATAAGATGGATAAGTACTGCTGCACCTATGTAGATCTCTCAAATGTAAGGGAACTAGTGGAATGAGAGGGAAAGGTGTGCAGCTGCGTGCGAGCGAGCACGACCCAGAACTCTAGCGATGGCGGTGGAGGGCATGTCTGAGTTCGACACCAGTACAATATCACCATCACCCGCCTAAGAAACGAGGAGATCGAGGAGATGGTATAGGAGGCGAGACTTACAAGGCCGAGGGCTAGGAGCACAAGAAGAAGGCAGCGTGTGTGTTAAACATTCACGTAAGTTGGCCCTAGTAAAAAAACTAGTAGTATTAGAGAGAGAAAGTACTCTGTACTCTACATGTAACTCTTATATGACTAGGAAAAACTACACATGATGGGTTATGGTGGCACAGTGGGACATGTCCGAGTGGGTGCGAGTTGGTTGTTGCTATCTTTTCATAGGTTTGGGCTTGACCAACTCCTATGAGGTCTCTTAAAAGTAAATAAACTAGTGGGATAAGATGGATAAGTACTCTCAAAGTTGGCCCTAGTAAAAAAAAACTAGTAGTATTAGAGGAGAAAGTACTGCATGACTCTACATGTAACTCTTAGATGACTAGGAAAAACTACACATGATGGGTTATGGTGGCCTGATGGGACATGTCTGAGTGGGTGCGAGTTGGTCATCGCTATGTTTTCATAGGTTTGGGCTTGACCAACTCCTATGAGATCTCTTAAAAGTAAATAAACTAGTGGGATAAGATGGATAAGTACTCTGCAGCCTATGTAGATCTCTCAAATGTAAGGGAACTAGTGGAATGAGAGGGAAAGGTGTGCAGCGGCAGGAGCGGGCACGACCGGAACTCTAGCGATGGCAGTGCTACATGTAACTCTTATATGACTAGGAAAAACTACACATGATGGGTTATGGTGGCCTCAGGGGTCAGCATCGCTCGAGGCCCAAATTGATAAGCTTTTGGACGAACTTTTGGAGTCGGGTGTGCAAGAACTCGATGATGATTATATCAACGCTGTTGACCTACTTAGGGACCCTATTATTTTAAAAAGGTACTCCAAGCTGTCATCCATGGAGAAAAAGATCGGCTTCATGAGGAAGCTACGGGCACAAGTAAGTTATTGCTGCTTGGTTGCTTCTTGTATTATCAATGGAGAGCTCAACAAATTGCTGCAATATTTCGAAGAAATTGATCTTCTTTCAGTCCTGCCTACTAGTGATTTTTACTCTGTTATTTGTTGAAATATTGGGCAGGGCGTGCAAGTGGCAAACAGGAGTCACGGTCACCAGTAATGATGTAGCAATTGTTGATCTCAAATCAAGAATCAGTGATTTGGAGACTCAAAGGAAGCTGCTGTCTTTTTTCTTTACTTTGGCACTAATTATTATGTACAATAAGTATTATCTTCCTGCTCTTCTGAATGGAGTTTGGCATGCAGCAGTAGCAGACTTGACGCCTGGAGTTTGGCATGCAGCAGTAGCAGACTTGACGCCTTGAATGCTTTGAAGCCTTGAACTTTTTAATTTATGCTCTTGAACTGTCATCAAGTTATCTTGTTTTTTCATTATTCATGTATGTGTTTGATGTAAGAACATGCTACCTAGTTATCTGTGATGTGTTATGTAAGAACATGCTATCCAGTTATCTGTGTGGATGTCTTAATGGTGGACAGATATGAGGTCTTCTCTCCTAAAACTAGAATTCTAAAGACAAAAACAAGAATGGAATATTTTTTTCTTGTTGTACTTGCTAATTGATTCCTTTTCAAATATGTTTCTTACCTGTTGTGTCCACTAATTGATTCATCTTCTTAAAAACACGTGAGCCGCCGACTCAACTGTCTAGTATGAGACAGTGATATGTGCCTGTTTTTAAGAAACAAAGGCGTGGGCTCACAATTAGCAGGACGAAAGGCCTGGCCCATGGGTGGCCCATGGGCCAAAAACTATCAGCCCATTCAGTGGCCGCCGTATCCAACTCCGGCGACCGCCCTGCCTCGCCGCCGAGGAGCGCCCGCCTCGCCTCCCGAAGCTGCCCAGGCCGCCGCCGGCGATCCTGCCCGGTGACGCTGGGCGACGACGCGCGCCGCCTCAACCCGGCGCCCCGCCTCCTCGCCGCCGCCGAGGCGCCCGCCCGCCTCCCTCGCCTCCGCTGCTGCCGCCCGCGCCGCGACTCGCCGGTGTGTGGCGGCGCGACGGCGAACGCCGCCTCCCCCCCGAACCGCCTCGCCTCACCGCCAAGGAACGCCCGCCTCGCCGCTTGCTCCCTCGTCTGTCGGCGCTGAGAGCCTGAGATTGCTTCATGTCTCCTCGACCGCGGTGGCTCCGACGACCGCCGCCAAGCCTCCCGAAGCTTCCCAGGCCGCCGCCGGCGAGCCTGCGCGGCGGCGCAGGAGAAGTTGGGGGGCAATGGATCTGCGGCGTCGAGCAGCGAGTGAAGTGGAGGAGATAGTGGCCGAATGATTTAGTACTGTCACCTATTTAGGACAAGGGCATGAATTTGGGACATACAAATCTGTACCGTGGGTACAAATCGGTGCCCGCTAAACAGTGCCGAGGTTCCCGAATCGGTTTCCTGGGAACCAATCGGTGCCGTGGTTCGTAATGCCCCAACACCAAATCGGTGCCCTCTATAACACGGCGCGCAATATAACAAATCGGTGTCTTCCCCTCGCGACGCCGCCCATCCGCCGCCACCACAGCATCCGGCCGCCCTCGCTCCGGCATCCGGCCGCCGCCGCCCCGGCATCCGGTCGCTGCCTCGCCGGAATTCCATCTCTGCCGCCCCTCCGCCTCGCGCCAACGGTGACGCCTCCGCCGGTGCCCTCTATAACACGGCGCGCAATATAACAAATCGGTGTCTTCCCCTCGCGACGCCGCCCATCCGCCGCCACCACAGCATCCGGCCGCCCTCGCTCCGGCATCCGGCCGCCGCCGCCCCGGCATCCGGTCGCTGCCTCGCCGGAATTCCATCTCTGCCGCCCCTCCGCCTCGCGCCAACGGTGACGCCTCCGCCGCGACTGTCCCTACCTGGCCGCCTTGCCTCGTCCCAAGATCCGGTGAGCCCTTCCTCTCTCTCCTCCTTGTTCTCCCCACATCGACCGCCTCCGTCTCTGCAAGTTACTCCGCTTCCATCAGTAGCTGCATGCCCCCTCTGGTCTAGGGTTTCTCCTATCTTTGCTGTGTGGATGTGAATTTATTTCTTACATACTAGTTGAGACTTGAGAAATTCAAATTCGATACAACAATAAGGTCAGGATTTAGACAGGCATTTCTCATGATTAATATGTAGGATAACTGCCGTGTATTTTAATTTTGTGAGCACACCGAAAAGGTCTGCAGTTCAGTTTGGTTTAGTGCCCTCCAACTCCAGTTACCATAGAGATGGTTGCAGCTTGCAGGCTGTTCTGCTGCTGTTAGGGAACTTAATCTTGGTATAAAGAAATTCTATATTGCTGTAGGACATAGAGAACAAGTCAAACCTTTTGTTCTTGATATCATGCTGCATTACAACCAGGTGCCTTTATTTGTTGGGGGCACAATTCCAACATTTTCGTTTATGGCTCTTGCTCCATTTTCTCCTTTTTTATTTATTCATATAGTACAGAACAAAGTATCTAGTGGTCAGTTATATTAGAGGGTAGCTTATGGATGTATTAGACCATACCATCTTGTTAAACACATGCAGAAAGCCAGAAAGTGACACTTCTGAATGGTGCTATCTTCAGTTACCTATTCTCATTTCCACTAGTCAGTTAGCTATCTTCAGTTAGCTGTATAATCATGGTCATGCTTTATCTAAATGAAGTTGTGTAATTGCTTTGAGCTGTATATGTTGCTATTTTTAGAATTTAAACTCTGAACTCAGGAGTGAACATTTTTGCAGGAAGGTCCGCCCCACGCAGGCGAAAACAAAAGAATCCACTCAGGCTGCCGCCAGCGCTAGGGTTAGATGCGGAGAAGCGGGATGGGAGGGGGCGGGTCGCCGATGGAAGGGAGAGGGTCCTTCCAGTCGCAGTCTCCGCAGCAGCGGCGCTCGCCCCGGACCTTCCAGCCTCGGTCGCCGGTGACCTCCCAGCCTCGGTCGCCGGGGACCTCCCAGCCGCACGCGAACTGGGTGATGACGCTGGAGCCGGCTGTGCACGTCCCGGGTGGGCCTTTCCAGCCGCTGCCGGAACATGTTCTTCAGCGGCCTTTTGCGGAGTCGCCGGTGCGGTACCGCGAGGGTCCTTTGGAGTACGAGGGTGCCGTTTTCTGCCCGTGCGGACAGAGGATGGCAAGATTCATTTCGTGGGGTTGTTTCCCGGGGAGGAGGTTCTACAGTTGCATGGTAAGTTTTCATGACAGCAATTCCATTTATTTTTTACGATTTTCTTCTTTTGTTTTGGGTCTAATCTGCTAAGTCTTTTTGTTTGCATTTATTTAGGTTGCCAGAAATGGTTGTGGATTATCGGAATGGTATGATCCTCCCTTTTCTCAGTATGTCACGAATTTGGTCGGTGACTTGCGAGATCGTGTGCTGGAATTGCGAGCAAGAGTGCAGGCCTTGGAAGAAGAGGTTGCTGAATACAATGAGAAGAAACAAGAACTTCAGGACACTTTGGTGGATTTGGTGAAGAACATGAGCGTGAACTGAAGGTCCAGTTCTTAAACCTGTGCTATATCATTATTTCACTGCTATATATGTTGTTATATCATGGTTTCTTGAACCTGTGCTATATCATTATTTCACTGCTAGAAATGTAATACAATAGCAACTAATGAAATCCTGGAAAACAGTAGAACAACTGCATGTCAAGAAATCACGGACCACCCATGACCATGTTAAGGATTTCAATAATATCTATAATCTATAACTCCTATAAAGACAAACCCCACTATCATATTTATCTGAAATTTTGTTGCGCCACGTCATCTGCTTCACCACCGGCCGTCCCTACTTCTACGGTTACAGTAGAGTTGAGTGCTTCTTCCATCGAGCCGATAGAAACAGAAGTCCGTGTAACTTCACCAGCCACCACCGTGCGCCCATTCCATGGAGCATTAACTGCACCGACTGCCCAGCAATCAAAGATTGAAGAGGCCGATTGCGATTATTCTCCACTCACATATACTTTATTTACCGCTCCTAAGCTAGCGTATATATACTGCTATGTTGCTAGGCAGTTCATTTTCACCTCTTCAATCATTGTTGAGAATTTGATTTCCATGCGACCATCAATTCCTATGTATCGATGGTCTTACTTGATTGTTGGTACCATCCGTTCCAAGATGACAGAAGCAAATGATCAAGGCTCAAGAGGCGGATCATTTTCAGTAAAATATCATAGCAGCTGGCATCCAGGCATGCATCACAGACTTTTGTCATCCTCAATTTCAAACAAAGCTTCCTCTCAATTCTTGCTGAACCCCATCCTATATACAATTTTGTTAATTTTTAGGAAGAATGATTTATTTTTAAAATATTACTTGCTTTTTATCCGGTGTTTATTTTAGTTTCTGCTGACATGAACCTCTGACATAAATCATATACATTGTTACTCACATAATTGTTTTATTTGTGCAGAAATGGAAACAGCTTCTTTTTGAGAGGACAACATCAGGAGTCTGCAGGAATGACTAGTGGAGGAAGGCAATCTACAAGGTTTTAGTCTCCCAGCTGGGATTGGCTAAGTAGTAGTAGTTTCTTTTGGGAAAACTCTAAATGTAATAGATGTAGTAGCTAATTTATCTTTGATGGTAGATCGTTGGAAACTCAGTCATGAGGGATGCTTAGGATTTAAGTAGTGCCAACCAGTGGCGGAGCCAGGATTTTAAACTTGGGTATTCCCATAAGCGAAAAAAAATCAATGTATAGCTGCATAGGTTTCAAGTGACCAAATCCAGTCAATTCGGACATTCCTAAATCCAAATGACCAAATTGTTAATGGAAAAAAAATCCCTCACCTTCGACTGAACGCTCAGCCGGCTAGCTGGCCGTGGCCCGTGGCCGTCCTAGTACGCCGCTGCCGCCCTCCTGTCCGCCGCCTTGCCAAGCCAGCCTCCGCAGCTCTGCTCCGCATGCCCTGTGCCCCTGCCTGCTATACCCCTGCCCTGCTACTTCCGCTAACCCTAGGTGGAGCCGAGCGCTGCGGCTGGCAGCTGGCCGTCGCCGGAGGCCGGACGCCGGGGGCGAGCAAGATTAGGGTTAGGGATTGGGGAATCGGGAATGGAGAGCTGGGAGCACCGAGCAGAGCAGCCCGCGTACAGGTTGCGGCGTCGCGTCGGGTGTATCCTCAGCGCCGCCTGTTTCTTCGAAGAGCTGGCGCCTATCTCGGCGCCGTGTTATTTCTTCTACAGCTGGCGCCTTGTTCAGCGCCGCTGTATTTAGTCACGGAGAGGGCACCTAGTTCGACGCCTTTGTTGAATTTACGAATTGAGATGGCGCCTACCTCAACGCCGTCTTAGTTATATTCTGTTCCGGCGCAGGACAACGGCATGATGTGCGCAGGGTGGAAGGAGTTTGCGCAGGACAACGGGCTGGTCCTTCATGCCGCCACTTGATGATGAAGCAGCCTCCAACGTTAACGGCGGCGTCCTTCATGTCCGTGTCATCAGGCAGAGCACAACGGCGGAGTAGTAAACGACACCATGGCAAGAGTCCATGACTCAACAAACAGGTCTCAGGTCCAATCTTTGCTCGTCTCAAAGAAAGAAAGAAACCTTAATTGGGAATTGTTCCATGCATCTCTGTTCCAACACGCTCAGATTGCTGGATTGGAAAGATCCGTGCCATGCACCAATTAGAAAATGACCATTAAAATTCTAAACTAGCCAGAATCTTCCAACTTATTTTGCTCTGTCTAGAAGACGTATAAGCGTCTATTGAATAAGGAAATCCTATTATAAGTCATAGGGAATCAAAACTTCGAAGTTGATGGCAGTTAAGGAAATTTGTGATTTTCTATGGCAATGAAGGAAGCAGCATAGTTTTCTATGCCAATGAGCAAATTTTCTCAAATAGATAATAGTTTATAACTGATAAGTTCAAGTTTTCAACCACAGCTCGCAAGTCATCACAAAGCAAGTGCACAATGCACACCAGTACACGACACATTACTGACAGTTCAAGAGCATAAATTAAAAGGTTCAAGGCTTCAAAGCCTTCAAGGCGTCAAGTCTGCTGCTGCTGCAACTCATAATGACACAATACAAGTCTTTAAAAAGATAAAAAAAAAAGTTCCAGCAGGTAGCACCGTAGCACACCTGACAGTCCCAACAGCCCTTCAACATCACAGATTCAAGTCTTCATCTCCATCTCCATGACTCCATGAACACGCAGTCCCAGCAGAACCTGAAGATGTATAAGTCAACAACTTAGAAACTGCACACTGCATAGGTAATGTACATTATTTGAAATTAAGAACACATGAAGAGCTAAGACCCAAACACAACTATCAAAATGAAGTCCGTATACCTTTTAAGCACCATAGGTACCAAGGCATGTCTTGATCCAACACAAGCGAACATCTTCCCTAGTGAAGCTCATGAAAACTTTTCTAGCAACCGGATCTGATGTATAGTGTGTGCTGGTGAGTCATCCCTAACTGAGATATGGGCAGGGGCCAGGGGTTGACAACAAACCAAAACCAAAGCCAAAGCCCAAAGGTGTGTGTGGATGTGGGCTGGATGGCATAGTATCACCAATTTGCTACAAAAACCAGTACGACCAAAACAGCAAAATGAGAGAGAGCAGGAACTCACAGACATCACTGGAAGTCTTCACTCTTTAGACTCTTTAGGTGGTCCCTTTTTGAAGTCTTCAGGTAGTTCATCTTCAGGTATCTTGGGCACACCTTCTCCTCCATGTTTCTACAAAGATGAGAAAATAGAGCAAATTAGCAAAATAATTGGAGCAAATTAGCAAATTAGCAAAAAGGAGCAAATTAGCTTACAAACACATCAATGAGGGAGCTTCTCCTCTTTACATAGTCATCAGGCATAAGGTGAAAGTTTTCCACAAGGAAATCAACGTTACACAGCATTTGTGTAAATATCAACAGCTCTTTGCCACAGGAATATTTTTCTCCATTCCCTCCAGACAAATACTTAACTGCAGCTTGTACGTCAGGGTGTAACTTCCTAGTTATCGGCACACCGCCAGCACCACCACAAAAACTCGGATCACTACGAGTCACACCATTCAGTGGAAAACTAACAGTAGTGGGCTCCGATTGAAGACTCAGTGCACCTGAACTTGTGCCTGCATCATCAGCAAACAAGGCTTCGAACGTCTCTTCATGGCCATCGATACGTTCTTTTTTGCGTATAGTAACCTGGGATGCAAGAAAAAAAATTGTCATCAGTAATCTAAATTGAGGAGTGGGGCAAAGAAAGAATGAGGAGTGGGGCAAATACCATCGTACGAGCTCCATCGGGGCCGGGGCTTTGGTTTGTCCACTGGTCTCTATAAGCATAATACCTTTCCTTAACCATCTTCGTTGTGAACGTCTTCCCAAATCTCACACTCAACCTATTCGCAGTCTTTTCGTGTAACTCTTTTTTTGCCTTAGGCTTTGGATTGCCATGAAGAACTGCTCGAACTTCCTCGAGGTAAGCAATATCATGTTCATACAACCATTTATGTGGCATCCTCGGCTGTCTGGAGTGGGCAGATGAGGATGAGCTGCTCAGTATGGGCCGAAGCTCGTGATGAATCTGAAAAGGAACACCTGTATAGTGAGTTCGAGTCTAGGTTACTGTACCTAAGAGAAAAGCAACCAAAACCCTATCATCATCATCCACCAGTCACCACTAATTGAGAAATTAGTGGCTTGGCAGCAAAAACAAACAACATTAACAATTAACAATTTCGTTAGTACATACATCCCTTGCCGCTATAAAAGCTGTGGAAAGCCATCCCCTCGCCTCACACAGCCTTCTCACTCAGCTCAGCTTACCCAAAGCAAATCACACACAGATTGATCGATCGATGGAGGGCAAGGAGTTATAATTGCAATTAGTTAGCCAAATAAAATGTGGGTTTTTTTTCAGTAAACATAAAAGGGGTTAATTAATACGGAGTAGTAAACATAAAAGATCTGATTTCCAAACATATTACAGCATAAAATTCGGTTTGGTTAAACCTAAGGCCCTATCTTATCGACTGTGTAATTTTAAAGGAAAAAGAAAGAAATATCAAGACTGCTCAATAATGACCTCGCTAGTTCCTCTACATCAGCATCCTTCCTGTTCCTCTACGGGCACGTTTGGATCCTGGGCAAGAAAAATACTAGCCTCACTAGGCCAGCCACAGCGTTTGGTAATCCAAAAAAAACATAGCCTTTGGGGGCGACCTTGCCCCGCTCGCCCAGAAAAGCATCGCTCCTGAGGGAGAGCCGATTCGGCTCGCCTTCAACGGCAAATCGCGCTCGTGCCGAAGAAAATGCGCGCGAGACGATCTCTCCGCAACGAACTCCGCTTTTCCCCCGTCCATACCGCCGTGTTCCTCAGCATCCCATGCGATTTTTGCTCCAACACCTCCATAAATCTAGCCAGATCTCAGTTTGCAGGCACCATAACCTCCACCCAGTAGCTCCATTCTCGTCCTCTCCAACTTGACCGCTGCGCAGCAGGACAGAGAGCAGAGCAGGGGACGACAGATAGCAGGGACGAAGGAGCAGGTTCCTCCTCTTCAGCTTGCAAGGTCTGTAATCAATCCCTAATGTCTATTTTTTTTTCATCCAGTGATTAATTGTGATTGGAATACGCCTGAGGACTCTTTAGATTGGGGATTAATTCCATAGAGTAGATGGTGTGCTTAACGATTGGGCTCTGATATGGTGTGTGCGCAGCACACTGCAGTCTGCAGATCTATTTAATGTATAATCCTGTGATTTCTAGTCAATCCCCTCCACACATAGATATTTGCTACTGTATCAACAATTCCTCTGTATCAAAGAATTCATTTGATTTTTACTCTGTACTTGTAGGTAGTTTAACAGTTTGTCCTTTGTAGTTTGATTACTATAGATGGATGACAGTGCTATTGTTAATAGAATGATTGCATTCATTAGCGCTTCTATTTTAGCATGGTTGATATTGGTGAAATTTCAACGCAATACCGGTGATCCTATACGATACTCATTGTTAGAGAGGAATAAAGAAAGGCTGAAGTATCTACAGAAACTGTATTATGGTGAGGAGAAACACTGCATCTCAGAGTTACGCATGGGAAAGTCAGTGTTTTTCAAGCTGTGTCTAAAACTGCGTACTATGGGAGCACTTAGAGATACTTGGCATTGTACCATAGAGGAACAAATTGCCATGTTTCTCACTACTGTAGGACATCATAAGAAAAACAGTGATATTAGCTTTCATTTCACAAGGTCAGGTGAAACCATTAGCCGATATTTCAATCAAGTTTTATATGCAATTGGACAACTTGGACCTGAAATGCTTAGGCATCGCTCTCTCGATATACCATCAAAAATTGTAGGCAACCCTCGGTTTGATCCCTATTTTAAGGTATGGCCCTTCACTATTTTATACCAAAATAGCTTATTAATAATATATTAGTATGTACTTATGTTCCTATACCAATTGAATGCCTAGGATTGCATCGGCGCAATTGATGGTACCCACATTCCTTGTAATGTTCCATCAAGGATTGTAGATAGGTTCCGCGGTAGGAAAGGTTTTCCTACCCAAAATGTTCTTGCAGTGGTCGATTTTGATTTGATGTTCACGTATGTAAGTGCTGGTTGGGAGGGGTCCGCACATGATTCCACGGTCCTACGACATTCTCTTGAGCATCCAAATGGCCTTCGAGTTCCTGAAGGTTGGTGTCTAGTCTACCTTTTGAACACTTACATATACAACTTAGTGATATTAATTGTGTTCCCAATGGCCTGGTAGGTAAATACTACCTTGCAGACGCTGGGTACGCAGCAAGGAGAGGATTTCTACCTCCTTTTCGTCAAACACGATACCATTTGCGTGAGTGGAGGGGCAATAGAGCGCGGACACAAAATGAGCTATTCAACCTAAGGCACTCATCCCTCCGAGTTACTGTCGAGAGAGCATTTGGGACACTAAAAAATCGTTTCAAAGTGCTGACAACAAGACCATATTATCCATTCCCTTCACAAGTACGAGTTGTCATAGCATGTTGTATTCTTCATAACTGGATCTTACAAAATGGGGGACCTGATGAGCTAGTCTAGCGAACAAAGTTGGTTTGAGAACTATCCCAGAACAGCTGGACGTGTTCAACGAGATTTACGTGAGGAACAGAGGGAAGTACTCCGAGACAGGGATGCCATAGCTAATAGTATGTGGAGAAATAGGAACAATGTTAGGCATGGCTGATGTGTGTTGTTCAGTCATCTATGAAACTATTTATTATTTTTGTGTTGCAATGTAAAGTAGTCCTTTTTATTGTATTCATGGATTTCTCTGAACGAAATGTAGTTTCTTTACATGAAGTATCTTAATTACATCCACATAGTCATATGAGGTATATGAATTTTGTAATCTCCAAAAATATTTTAAGTACTGTCACATGCAGGGATGGCAGGAAATAACGTTGTGTGGCAGCCCCAGGTGGTGGAGGACATGCTACGATACTACAAAGAGAAGATACAAGCTGAGGGAAGACTAATGGTTTTTCGTGAGATACATCATGAGGAGTGCGCAAAACAGATTAATGCAAAGTATCACACAAATTTCACTCAGCGACAAGTTTACCACAAGTATCATAAGCTGAAAGGTCAATGGAAGGTTATAATGCAAGCAAAGAATTTAAGCGGAGCAAACTTTGATGATGTTAAGAAAATGATACTTTATGATGAAACAGAGGTTGTCAGAATGCAGAATGTAAGTCTTTCTGTCCTTATAAATTTGATTTAGTTATGTTACTTATGTATTATTATAGTGAAGTACGAAATTAAGACTGGACATGTGCAGGACAAAGATCCAAGGGCGAAATTTATAAATGTCCCTATCCATTGCTATGATGAGATGGAATTCATTTTTCAAGACAAGCATGCAACTGGGGAGTTCACTGTTCTACAAGCACCATACGATCTTCCTTCTACTCAGGATGGAGATTTAATTGGTGATAAGAATGCGAATCGTGCAGAGGATGTTGACCCAGGTTTGCAGTACGATTCAGATTGCTTGCCTGAAGAGGAGGACGGCAATAATGGGGGAAGCTCATCTAGTAAGCGTCCTGCTGCTAGCAAGCCTGAAAAAGTGAAGAGGACTAAGCGTGATGAAAGTGCGATCTCAGAGGTGACTCATGTTCTGCGTGATATGTCTGACACCATGCGCTTCACTCATGTCACTCATCCAAATGAAGAATTATTCAAGACAATTGATGCTATGAAGGAGTATCCATTATTTGTTCGACTTGAATTACAAGAGTATCTTGCAAATAATGAGAAGACTGCTGCTATGTTGAAGGGAAGACCATTGGAGGCCATCAAGGGGTACGTCGAGAGATGGTTTGTTAAAAACTATCCACCTCCGATGATTTGAGTTTGTTTAGATCAGACTTTACAATAAGTATGCACATTTTATGCTTTTCATAGGACTAAGGAAAATAATGGACCCCCGGCTGCAACACCATGTTTTAAATGGATAGTATTTTATTTACATTGTATCTGTTTCCATGTACATGAATGCTAAATTGCAAGGAGAAACGAGGCAGCAAGGTCGGCAAGCTGTATACGCAACCAAACGACAAAGCTAGCTGGGCAAAAGAACCAAACGTGCTGTAGTGGCAAGGTTGACCTTGCTGAAATTGGCAAGCTTGCCCAGCTGAGCTATATCCCAGCTCAGCAAGACTACCAAACGCACCCTACATCACCGCCGGGATCGCCGAGTTCGTGGCCACTTTCCTGTTCCTCTACATCAGCATCCTAAACCCTAAACCCTAACCCCCCCCCACCACCACCCTGAACCGGCGAGCCTAAACCCTAAACCCTAAACCCCCCCCACCCTGAACCGGCGAGCACATCCGGCGAGATTGAACATACCTTCGGTGACTTGGCGCTCCGTCGTTCACCCGCGCTCCGTCGTTCACCCGCGCTCCGTTGAGCATTACCTGGTTTCCTCTTCATTTTCCAGCAGCTCGCACTATAAGTAGCAATTACTCGGGTGGCCAGAAAGTAGTAGGAGAAGGATCGAGGTGACCTGCATACGAATCCGTGAGAGAGGAGAGAGGAGGGAGGTGGGCGGCGGAGAGAAAGGAGAGCATGGTGGTCATTACGGCTTTGCGTGCGGCAGTCAATCGGCAGAGTCTGGGAAACAGAGAGAGAGAGAGGAAAAGGGGGAGATTGTTACTTATATATGTCGATTAGCTACTTACCTATGGACCTAACAGTTATTTTCTGGACGTCATGAAGATTTTGGGCACTGAAGTTGCCACTTAATTTTTAGGTAAGTTAAATGGACACATTTCTTTGCATTGATGAGCTTCTACAGTGAGCTTAATTTTTATTGATGACCACTGAATTTTTATTTGTTATGTGCTGTACTCCGATGGTTATTGTTGTTATTTACAGAGCATGGTCCAAGATTTTTCGCCGTGAATGTTCCGGGTCTTCTTGAGCTATGTAGAACTCTCACATGAGTTGGCACCGTTTCCTTGATTAAAGCACCGTAATCAAGGACCGTACCGTTTTTTCCAGGCACCGATTCTGGAGTGCGGGCATCGACTATCTATCCCGGCACCCATTTATCAATACGAGCACCGTTTTTTAATAACGCACCGTTTTTTAGGGACGGCACCGTTTATCTGGCACCGATTCCTTGACTCGAGCACCCTTTCCACACAGCGGCACTGTTATCTGGACGTGAGCACCGTTTTTCTACGCACCGATTCCTTGACTAGAGCACCATTTCTTCAGTAAGCACCGTTTCTATGACCACAGCACCGTTTTCAAGGACAGCACCGTTTTTTCCACGCACCGATTCTGGAGTGCGGGCATCGACTATCTATCCCGGCACCCATTTGTCAATACGCGCACCGTTTTTCAATAACGCACCGTTTATCTGGCACCGATTCCTTGACTCGAGCACCCTTTCTACACGGCGGCACCGTTTCCTGGAGTAGAGCACCGGTTTTCAGTCTCATCCTCCTACATCAAAATGATTCAAGCGTATAACACCGGGCTGAGCAAAACCAAGAGTAACAACTACGGGTTAGTAGATGGTGGCAGCTGGGGCTCCGGCAGGGGAGATGGTCGTAGTTGGGGCTCCGGCAGGGGAGATGGTGACCGTGGTGGTTATAACAATGAAAGAAGGCCCTTCAGCCAAGGTGGTGGCTGGTCTCAGTCTTCTGACTAGAATGCAAACAAAGGAAGCAAGCCCAGCTGGAAAAGCGCAAAGCACCTCTATTGGTGGACCCAAAGCTGCCTGCACCCTGGCCGCATCGCGCGCTTCATATCTTGCATTCTATCCGTTCGAAGGAGGCGGCAGTGGCGAACCAGCCGTCCCTGCGCTCCGTGCTCGCGGTCGCGGTGCCGAGCCCGCCGATCTCTCCGACGACGTTGAAAGCTCTTGTTTGGTTGCCCCGACTATCCAATGCCCTTGGTTAACCCTAAACCCTAAACCGTAAACCCGAAACCCTAATCCGTAAATCCTAAACCCTAAACCACAATACAATGGAACAAATACCTCCTGTGTTTGTTTCAAATACCATTTTATTACAACAACACCATATTATGGAGAGTGCATACAAGTGGTAACACATTAAGAGCGGTAGAAAGTTTATTACAACAACAAACACAATTTGAAACTCATGTGAGAGTTCTACATAGCTCAAGAAGACCCGGAACATTCACGGCGAAAAATCTTGGACCATGCTCTGTAAATAACAACAATAACCATCGGAGTACAGCACATAACAAATAAAAATTCAGTGGTCATCAATAAAAATTAAGCTCACTGTAGAAGCTCATCAATGCAAAGAAATGTGTCCATTTAACTTACCTAAAAATTAAGTGGCAACTTCAGTGCCCAAAATCTTCATGACGTCCAGAAAATAACTGTTAGGTCCATAGGTAAGTAGCTAATCGACATATATAATATATAATAAATAAGAAAATGGTGAAGAAAAAGCATACAGGCATAACAGATTGAACCATGCGGCGCTTTTCAATTTCAGTGATTTGATGGTCTACAGACACTGCTGCAAGAAAAGCAAGTGCGGTCTCCTTCTCAAGTTCATCAAGTCTGGCTCTGAACTCAGACAAATCATTCATAATCACCCCCGATGGAATTCCATAGCTATAGGATTGATACTAGTGGCTGACACTATGTACATTACTGATATAAACAAAAAAAATAGCTAAGTGATAGTGTCCATGATAATTTTCTCAATAACTAGACATATCCATAATTTTACCTTTTTGAGAAAAGGGGTTTGCCCAGATAAATCAGAATGGTCACCAATTGTAGTCCAAACGTTGTTTGCAGCTACAGAGATAAACAAAAATTAGATTGCATCATGCACAGTCCATAGTTGTTTGCAGCTAATATAAGAGTAATTAACAAATCAACCAAAATTGCAACCATATGACCTACCAGTAAATTTGTGTTCCCTCCTTTTTCCATTGATTTTAGCATTCTGATACAAAGGAATAACAAGATATATTTAGATAAACAGATCAGTAAACTCATATTCTCTGATACAAAGGCATAACTAGATAAAAAATATACCCTATAATGATCTTTGATTTAAACAAGCAGACCAACGGGGCAAGGAATGTTTGTACTGAAACAAAAGCTTTAAATTTGAGCTTCTGAGGGTGTACAAGGACCAACAACCCAATCACTGCTTGTGATCCAATAAAAGCCTCCAGCAACATCTTCTGAGAAAGGCATGAGACTTAGGCATGAGATCCCTGTAATCCATGTAATATGTTGATTGGAGGGATGCCAATTAAGCAAAATTTTCTTACCAATTTGGAGGGATTGATTGGAGCTTGCAGTATGCCGCTCGTCGCCACGCCTGCGCCGGCGGCTGCGCCTGTCACCGCTCGTCGCCTTGGCTGCGCCGGCCTGCCCTGCGACTGGCTGCGCCGGTCACCGCTCGCCGCCTTGGCTACGCCGGCCTGCCCTGCGCCTGTCCCCGCTCGCCGCTACTAGGGTTAGACAGGAATGTGTTTGGTTCTGTTCGAACATAGGTGATTTGTTAAAAAGATAAGGTTGTTTGTTATATAATATAAAAAAAGATTGGTTTTACGGGCTACGAAGCCGGTTAAGGATACTGCTCCTCGGATTAAGGCCAGCCTAGATTTGTGTAGGCTTGTTACGATGTAATCGACTTAGGAAAAATGTGTGTTGTCCATAATGTGTAAATTTGGTATGATTTACAAATAATCTATTAATGATATTTGTTTAGGAAAAAATGGGTGGACGCTGGTAGTGGCGGCGTGAAGAAGATGGTCACGAAGGATCCAACTAAAGTCATCACATGGTTACCAAAACCAAACAATGACCTTTCACCTGTATCAGCCACCCATAAAATCCAAACATACATGATACTTGGCACAGTTCAGCCTTTAGGGTTTAGGGATGCCTAGCATGGATATTTGACTCTGAAACACCAAGGCGCAAGGTGAACTGGTAATTTTCAGCCCCCCACAAAATCCAAACATACATGATACTTGGCACAGTTCAGCCTTTAGGGTTTAGGGATAGGTTCAAACTATCTGAGGTTAGTTAGCATGTCTAGTAATTGACATAATGTAGATGGTCCGTTTTGGTTTAGCACGCAGAGCTGGTCCGTTTTGGCTCACGGCGCAGAGCTGGTCCGTTTTGGCTCACTGGTCCGTTTTGGCTCACGGTGCAGAGCTGGTCCGTAGAGAACCAAATTCGATCCATAAACATTGAATTAGATGGAAAAGAGTGAACCAGACCAACTTCCCTAATTCAAGAGCAACACCATGGTAAAAAGATACACATTTAAAAAATGCAACATACTAGTAAAAACAACGCAATGTGAGCAAATAAAAGCAAATTCTTCAGTAACAGGATTCAAAAGTCCATCTCTGGACCAGTGAGAAGACCATCGCTGAACGCTGATAAAATCGGATGTGCCATAGAACCAAAACGGACCAGCTTTGTGCCCCGATGTACGAGCTCTGCCTTTCAATCAAGTAGAATAGAGTTGGCCTAGTTTTAAGAAAAAACCAGGCCTAAAAACCTTACATGCTCACAAAACATCCCTAGATTACAAAAGACCTAAGGACTAACCCACGATAGTCCTCTTACACACAAGATGACACAGAAAAGAAACAACGCATGTCGCATGTTCACATTGTCGAGCTTGTCACAAGCAGGAAAAGAGCAGCTCCTGCTTCTCACACTCATCCAGTATCCCCTCTATAATAGCTTGGCCTAGCATGGCGTGAACAACTCCTCGATTAGCGCAGATAGTGCAAGGAAGCATTATGTCACGATCTATCCCAACATGGTTGATCCGTCGAGCCCACTGAGGTTCTCCAACATCTTGAAGACAAGGTCGGACATTGGGCCTTTGATAAGGTTGGCGCAGCGCATGAAGGCCATCTCCCTAGTTTCACCTTCTTCCTGTGTGACGCCCAGCCTCTTCATGAGCACTTGCCTTGCTCTGCTCTGTGCATCACCATGTGGCCAAGCAATCGCAGCTAGACGTGCGCTGTGCCGAGACGGCTTGCACGGTCTCCTTCACACCATGACTTATGTGTCCTCACATTAATCCACCTAAAGTTGTCACATGGTTACCAAAACCAAACAATGACCTTTCACCTGTATCGGGCCATCAGGGGGTGGACGCTGGTAGTGGCGGCGTGAAGAAGATGGTAATTTTTAGCCCCCCACAAAATCCAAACATACATGATACTTGGCACAGTTCAGCCTTTAGGGTTTAGGGATAGGTTCAAACTATCTGAGGTTAGTTAGCATGTCTAGTAATTGACATAATGTAGATGGTCCGTTTTGGTTTAGCACGCAGAGCTGGTCCGTTTTGGCTCACGGCGCAGAGCTGGTCCGTTTTGGCTCACGGTGCAGAGCTGGTCCGTAGAGAACCAAATTCGATCCATAAACATTGAATTAGATGGAAAAGAGTGAATCAGACCAACTTCCCTAATTCAAGAGCAACACCATGGTAAAAAGATACATATTTAAAAAATGCAACATACTAGTAA